CGCGCCCGAGAGGAGTTTTGGTGATCAAAATCTGTGGGAATTAATTATGTATTTCTGGAAACAGCTTGCCACCTCTCGTCCGCTGCCCGGGTTGAGTAACTCGCCATGAAGTAGCATCTTAAGTTGTTTGGATGTTGGCAAAGTTCGAAAGTCAAGATTGAGAATTGTGGATAGTTCCTCGAAAAGCGTTTGTCGAATATTATTGTATTGTATGAATAATGTTTGTGGCTAGGCTAGCCCACCCTAAGACAAAGGAAACTGTGGCCGCATGGCCTCATGGCGCAGTAGCGTGCAGCTCCGTCCGCTCAGTGCAGCTCGGTGCAGCCCGGGTGCGCCGCGCCGGACCGGAGGGCTGTGCGGCCGGCGGCAGGTCAGCTGCGCCGATCTCCGCTGTCCGGAGACCCAGCAGCGATACGGACCACCGAGCGCAGCCGTCAGAGAGCTGCGCCCGGCCGCCGGCGTCCGGCCGGCCCCCAGCCGGCGGCTGCACCCCTTCCAGAGGCCCCCTCACCGCCGCCAGAGCCAGTCACGGCGGCCCAGTCCGCCGAAACGCCTGACACGACACGACGACACGCCAGGCGCGTCCCCGCCGCCAGCGCGCGCCGCTCAAACAAAGGGTGTCACGCTCCGAGAAATGGACGGCGCCGCTCCGCGGCCGGCTGCCGCGGGGCCGAGGTGGTCTGAACGTGACCACAGCTGCAGAGGATGGGCCGAGAGCTCCCCGCCGCCGGCCCCGCCATGGGAGAGGAGAGGAGAGGGAGGGCATCCGGACCGGATCCTAATCACAGACGGCACGAAGACTCGCCATTCGCCAGCCGCCATTACAACCCATGACCGATAGCCGCAGTCATCAGGTCACACTGAACGTGGACACTCGTGATAAAAATTCAGTTCTGTGCAATGTTGAAAGCTGAGACCAGGCTACCTAGAATGATATTACGCACTGGCCATGGCAAACAATGACCCTTAGACTGACTTATCACGTCCCGACTCGGGACTCGTCACGAACGCCCAGGTGCAGCGAATCATTGACCTATTGATCATGAATAGGTACATTGTGTAATGTGTATTTTAAATCCACCAATACCAATCAACTCGCTTTGTATCCAAGCAGGCATCGATCTTACGCCTATTTCAGACTTCCTACCTAAAAATCTAATCACAAAAAGTTGGTGAAGGATTTGCTCGACGGTCGGACAGCCAGTACACTAAGAACGGACCGCACTATAGTGGCCCCCATAGGCGCGGGAACCAGGGGGGGGGGGGGCAGTGGGGGCAACTTGCTCCCCCAACTCTGGGGCCGTGGGGGCGGTGCCCCCACAACTTTGAGACGGAATACCGCACTTTTTTGCAACTGTTTCAGTTTTCTCTTTTATTGTTGAAAAGGTCAAGGGATGAAAAATAAGTGGCCTAAAACCGGTAAGAAAACTAGATTTGGGGGAACCCTATGTTGATCTCTATTATGGTGTGCCCCCCCCCCCCCCCGTCTGAAAGCAGTTCCCGCGCCAGGGGCGGCCCCTGAAGTAAAAATGTAAGTTTTGATTTTTAGATTATTTTCTAATTTCTACCTTACGTTGCTAATGATTTTAACAGCAAAGTGAAAAGTTAAATCGATTCCCGGATAAACATTCGGAGTTTCTTGGGCCGAATTGAAAGGCATGAGGATTCACAAATCATCTAATATAGCTAAAACTAACTAGAAGCCATGGCTGAATAAAATTATTTATGTTAAGTGAATAATTGAGCCCATTGTTCAATGTTCATGAATGACGAGTAACGATTGTGTTCTCTGTCGTTCCCGGTAGTCCGCAGGGGCCCGGCGACGTCAGGCCGTGTAAACAGGTCAGCTGATGACCCCACACCGGCCGCACTGATGGCAGCCACCGGCCGCAACCGCAGCACACCAATTACGCGGCGGCTCGCCAATAAACAAAGTCAAACAGGCGGAACGCCAGCGCGCCGGTCAACTGCGCCGCAACCGCGTTACAGAGCCGTACAAATAAGCAGCAACCTGCTGAGTAATCCTACCTTTAATTAAAAATGGCAGAGCAGGAAAACACGGCATTGACAGATGTGAAGCTTCGCCGCAGTACGAATCAACAAGTAGCAAAACAGGATTGAGGATTTCTTGTAACCGAATATATTGAGGCTGCCGGCTATTACTGTCTGGTTCTCGAGCGCCGAGTCCGGTCGGTCGGTCCCGGCGCGGCGGCAGGGCCGGTCGGGCCCAGCTGACCGAGCGGCGCGCGGCACAGGTAGGTAGGTAGGTGCTCGGCGGCGCTGCAAGCCGCCAGCTGGCCTCTGCCGCCGCCGGCCGCCGCACACTGGTCGGAAACGCTCCAGCGAGAGGCCAGCGGCCTTTCCGCAAAAGTTTTTTTGCTTGTTATTCCACAACTAGTGAAGCAAACTTCATAAAACTTTGCATACCTTCTCTTCCATATGTAAGCTATCATTTGGATATTAAGCCCTAAATATATGACGTGAATCTGTTAAGTTATGACGTCATAATTGAGTATAATACAGGATCTAGCACCACTTTAAGTCAACAAGGTAAATTGGGAGCTGCTATTCGGGCACCGAGAATGGTTTCATGCACTCCTTGCAAGGTCCAGTGCTTGACTTAAGCATTGTTGACTTTGCGTGACGTCATTTATGACGTCACTAAGGCCATGTAAGTTTTTCGTCAATAACTCCTGATCAGATGGAGCTAGAGAGTCGGGAAAGCCACCATTGGACTCAGGAAGACCTGCCGAATCGAATGATATGCGATATGACCTCCTTCAACCATTTTCATGACCTGAGGGGCTCCGACCTGACCTTGACCCGAGGTTAACACCTAAACCCTCGCCGGCACAGGGGGGGGGGGGTTGATGCAACCCCCCCCCCAAGGTTTTTCGCGAATAACTCGCGTAAAAAGCGGCCGATCGCGACGAAACTTTCAGTACCCTCGCATTGATCAATTTTACACCTACCCTAAAAATTTCATGACCCTGACCCCAATGACCTTTGACCTGTGACCTCTTTTCCGTGACCATGTTTGGCCGAAATCGCGATTCGGCGTATGTCGGCTCGCATTAGCCGCGCGTTTGCAAGCTTTTCGTGGTTTCAAACGTTCAAACATGTGATTTGATGTTGCTCCCATACATTAGGATGGGTGTCAAGGTCACCTGAAGGTCAGGTCAGGTCATTGACCTTTGGTGACCTCGGGTGACCTCGGTTCACTTTTTCGAGTTTTACATGTTTCTAGGCTAGTTTTTGGAGCTGAATTCTAATTTAGCAACCATTTGAACATTTACGAAGTAGTTTTGGCGCCTTCGTAACATGTTACGAAGCTGTCAGAGGCGGTTGACTCGTATTACGAATACCCGTCACAACCCCTACCGGTTGACCTGACCTGACCTAACCCGACCTGGCCTAAATGCATGAAGACATTATCTATGATCATAACTAACATGATATTCGTGATCAGCACCTCGACAAAAAATAACAGCCACCCTTTACGACGTTGGAATAAGTCCCGCGAGTTTCCCGACTTTTGGGTCATTGACCTGACCTGGAAGGTCACCCGATGACCTAGGACCTTAAAATTGGGTATCATCGGCTTCCTCTCGTGACGGGCAATACGCTCGTTTTTTTCCGCGAGGCTCTAGCTCGATAAGGGGCCAAACGCGAGGGGGAGGGTCGTACACACAAGGGTCGTACCCTTGTGCCGTCGAAGGACGCAAAATGGCCTGTGCCGGCGAGGGTTAAGTTGACTTCACCCGAACACCAAGTATAGCATTCAACGCGTCTGAGCTAGACAAACACGATTATGCCAAAATCGCGGCAGTGCGACCATTTTTGGCAAAGTAATTAACCTAAAACCGAGCCCGTGCCTTGTGGCACTTACCTGACCTAAGAGGTCACTGGCTGACCCAAGACCTTAAAATCGGGTAGTACCTACCTAATTTTTCCGTCTTATAACGGCACACAAGCTTGTTTTTTTCCGCGAGGCTCTAGCTCAATTAGAGGCGAAACGGCGAAGGAGTTGTACCAACCCTCCCCGGTCAATGTAGAAAACCAATCGTTCCGGCCAGGGTTAAATACCTACCGGCATTGTGATCTAATGTAAAAAGACGGCCCAAGGTAACCCGACGTCAGTGACAGGTGTCCTATATTTGCAGCGTCTTATATTCACGAAGGTTTCAATTTCCACTTTCTTCAGCCGAGTGATGGTTGTCAATAGCAAGGCTCTCTAAATGCAAACCGTAATCGCCACGCAATATGTGGAAGGCTTGTGATGTCAATACATACATAAATGCATACATAAAACGCGCTTTTCACAAAATTCATAAACAATGACCAGTCAACTACGCATGGATGCGTGCAGGCCACACAGGTCAGCGTAAGCCGGGCGCGGCGGCCGAGCCGAAACTGGGGCGGGGCGGGCGGTAGTTGGGTAGGAAGAGCGGCTCCTGCAAATTTTGCGCAAATATGCGCAATTAGCTTTTATGTTGCACTGGTGTAAATTTAAATCCTACTTCATCTCACAAAAAATCAGAGTGGAACTAGATGGGACTACCTGTTGTTTCCTTACCTAAACTTTGCAGTAATATTCCAGAATCACTGTAGGAAAGCCTTCATAAAAAGCTATAGTACATCTTAGTTAGGGAAAAAGTATACCAAAAATTTTGCACTGACCAGTCGGCAACTTCATAAGGAACATTTTGATGCATAATATGTGGGATTTCAATTTGGTGTCTATCAGCAATAAGACTCTGAATATCCGGCTCAAGAAACCTCTTGCTCCGCGTCAGTTTCCGAGTTCTGGGATACCCCATCTTCGGGGGCTGATTACAGCTATTTTCGGCACCCGGATTAGTTTTTTTGGCCTAAGTATAATAATTTGATCAATTTCAAATCGATCTATATAAAAAATAATCCGAGACTCCGGAATCGCCCGTGGCCTCTCGTGAGGGCGTTTCCGACCAGTGTGCGCCGGCGCCGCCCGGTCGCCGCCGGCCCCGCCACCAAGCAGCCCCGGCCGCCAGGCGGCGCGCAGGTGGCGGCCAGCGTCCGACCGGCGACGGCCGCGGCGGCCGGCAGTCCACTCTGCGACGTGTCCGAGAGCGGCACGCACGTGCAGCGCGGCCCGCCGAGCCCCCACACACCCGAGATGGACACGTCGCGCACCGCGCCGCCGCCAAACGACCTGGCCGGCGTCGAGGCCGCCAGTGCCGAGTGTCGCGACAAGAACTTCCTCTTCTCGGACACGCGCAGCGGCGGCCGCGATGTGTGGATCGTGCGCGGCTTTCAGATCTCCAAGCTGACGCTGTACCAGGTGCTGACGGTGGCGCTGGGAGTGCTGGCCGTGCTGTTTCTGATCCTGCTCATCGCCGTGTCGGCCGGCGGCGGCGGCGGCGGCGCGCCGAGCAGCAGCGCGGCGCCCAGCACCGGCGCGCTCACCAGCACAGAGTGCGAGAAGCCCTCCTGCATCCAGCAGGCGGCACAAATGGTCGGCTACATGAACTACTCGGCCAACCCCTGCGAGGACTTCTACGAGTATGCGTGCGGCCAGTTCAGCATCAAGCACCCGCGCGGCATCCACATCAGCTACGGCGTCAGCAACATGCTGGAGGACTACAACCGCGGCCGACTGGAGGAGCTGCTGGAGCAGCCGCAGTTCCACGACGACGACTCCGCCACCAGTAAGGCGCGCACCTTCTATACCTCGTGCATCAACGCCTACGACCAAAACGAGAACACCGTCTCCCAAATGGTGGAACTCATCAACTCGATGGGCGGCATGGAACTGTTCGGCACGTGGAGCGAGGAGGGCTGGGACTTCTTGCGCACGTTCCAGAACACACGAGAGGTGCACCGTGTGCGCCTCTTCTTCGTGGTGATCTGGTTCCAGAAGCTGGACCGGATCATCATCCGGCTGCCTCGTCTGGGACTGAGCCAGCGCTCTGCCTACCTGTCCGACGACCCTATGTACAACAGCACCATGGACAACTACCGCCGCACTATGAGGAGCGTACTCAGCCTGCTGGAACGTGACAGCATGGTACTCGACTCCAACGTAAAGCGGAACTGCAGCAAGTCGTGCATCGACGACATCGTCGACGACATCATCGACGTAGAGACGCAGATCTCAAAGCTCTCGCCGAGCATCCTAGACATTCTGCCGGGCCCGCGGAACAAGGTGAACCTGACCGACCTGAGCGGTCTCACCGACCGCATCGACTGGCAGGAGCTGATGGACGCTCTGTTCGGCAAGGGAGCCATCACAAACTCTGTATCCGTGCACATCCCCAGCCGGGAGTACATGCAGGGCATCAACAGCCTCATCAACGACACGCCGAAGTCTAAGATGCATCACTACATGATGTGGGCTCTCATCCGGCAGTATCTGCCGGCGCTCGGACCCAAGTACTCCATCCTAGGCCAGGAGCTGGAGCACAGCATCGATGGACGGGAGACCAAGCCGCGTGAGCAGATATGCTACGACCTGCTGCGCACCTACATGGGTCGCGCCGTGCGCGCTCTCTTCATCTCGGGCCACATCGGAGACCAGAAGGTGTCCGCTGTGCGCTCGCTGGTGGAGGACGCCCGCGAGGTGCTCAACGAAAGCTTCGGCTGGATGACGGCGGGGGCACGCGCCAAGTCGCAGGAGGTGCTGCGCAACCTGACGGTCCTGTACGGGCACACGCCGTGGATCGCTGAAACCGATCGACTCAACGACTACTATCGCGAACTGTCGCTGGACTCAAAAGACTTCTTCAAGAACCTGCAGGCCGCCTATCTGTACCAGTCGATCGAATACAAGACCAAGGGCACCACACCGGACGATGAGAGTGACGCCGAGAACGGCTACGTGATCAAATCGGAGCCGTCTGACGTCAAGGTCACCTTCAGCCCTCTGCTGCAGGCCATGAACATCCCCTACGGCGCGCTGCAGGAGCCGTGGTACCACCACGAGAGGCCCAGCTACACCAACTCGGCAGGCCTCGGCTCCATCATCTACAGCGTCCTGGCGCAGCCGTTCCTGCTGCACCATCGCACCTTCCGCACTCCCAACTGGTGGGACACCGAGACCAACAACAAGTACCAGAACTACAAGACCTGCATCCACGAGCGCTTCAACAAGTACCAGACGCACATCCCGCGCGGCTTCCAGATGAACCAGGGAACGCGCAAGGTGATGTTCATGCGTCCGCTGGTGCATCTCGACCCCAGTCCTTCTATGGACTACCTGCAGGCGCAGCACTTCGCGCTGCAGCTGGCCTACAAGTTACATAAGCGCCTGGAGGCCAAGTCGTCGAGCAGCCCCGTCCTGCTGCCCGGTATGAAGCACACGACCACCGACCAGTCGTTCTTCCTCGCCTACGCGCAGAGTCGCTGCCAGAACAACCAACAGTACTTAGAGGTGCTACTCAACGCCGCATTCCACAAGTTCCCGCATCCCAAGCTCATCAACAATCTCGTGTTTAACAACCCGAACTTCAGGGAAGCGTACAAGTGCTCGTCCGTACCACCAATTCATGCCAGTCAAGAGTGCAACTTGGAGTAGGTGTGATGCGCGCGCGCGGAATCCGCCGCCGATACCCAGTGCCTGGTGACTGTGTCGTGCTGGCCGGTGACAGTGCGGATATCTCGGCCGGCCGGCCCGCAGGTCCCAGTTCATCGACCCGGAGCGTCCGGTGTGCAAAACCGGCGCACCGGCGGCGGCCGCGGCGCCCGTGGCACAGCCGCACCGTTATGGGACCGGTGCGCGGTCGCGGCCCCGACCCGGCGCTTCCGCGTGGCCGCTAAAATAGGGCGCCGCCGATGGCCGGGTGGCGGAGGCTGCGGTCGCGAAGCGCCCACGGCCGGAGAGCGCTGTGATTGTGGACGGACCTCGGGGCGGCACAGGGCGGCGAGCCAGCGCCAGCCCAAGCCAGACACATATAGATGAACAGAGATATAATGGTGCGCACGGCAGAGTGTCCGGGAAGGGGCGATAGGCCGAGAACGCCAGGTCGGCTGAGTGCTGTGGCGCACTAGTAGTGTCAATGGAGCTATTTTATGAGGTGGGTCCCCGAGTGAGTGTGAGTGTGGGCGGTGTCTGGATGTGTGCGTCAGATTGCGCAGCGTGAAATGTCAATAGTTGGAAATATGTATAAGTGTCTTATCGTGTCTTCCCAAATCATTGAAATACATAAGTGTCTACATGACCCACGGTGTTACTTTTCGCTCACAACATTTATGAAAGACAGGAAATATTGAGCCACTCCTCAAAGTTCGTTCCAGCCGGGGCAAAGGACTTGACATCTCATTTACGCTGGGAGATAAATTAATTAAAAGCATTTTTATTTTTATTTCATTTTAATTTAAAGCAATTTAAAAGCAACAACGCAAAATTTTGATATTTTCAGAACTTGTAAGGTGTAAGGCGGCGCCCTAGGTGCGTAGGTATGTGCAAGCGACGAAGCATACGACATATTACGTAATTGCATACACAGTGTAGCGAGCCAATCTCACTAGCACGGAAATTCCCCTTGGTCCAGTCGTACCGTGCCACTACACGGATCCCACTCACCGACAGTTAAACACGTCTTATCAGCCGCCGGTTAAAGTAAAAATACCTATAAAACGTCCCCGAAACGTTTGAAATTCATACCACTTTGATCATTATTGCCTAACCGATAATCAAGTTCGAATAATTCAATCTGCACAGCGTGAATACGAGCAACAAAACGCTAACGTTTGAAACTCAATTACGGGCCTAGCTTTGGGCACTTTGGACGATTTAATGAGCGAAGAAGCCGTTTGCCGATCGTCGGATACTGACCCAAAGGCGACTTATTCTCTAAACATAGCAGGCTTAGTGGACGCGAAATTTTCCGTTCGTACATAGAAACTGGCAGCTCGGGAGAAGCCGCACAGCCGGTGAATAGCTACTTTAGCGGCGAACGACGGATGGAGTGGCGGCCGGACGCCGTTCAGGTGTTGTGCCATGCAACGTTGGAGTCTCCGGGGCGGGCCAGGTATGAGGAAGAGCTGTTGGAGTCTCCCGACCGGACGACGGTCGAGTCACAGGTGGCACGTTAGTCTCAGGTGGCCTGCTAAGAGCCTCCGACCGCACGGTGGTCAGGTCAGGTCACAGGTGCCCCGCTGAAGTCTCCAGGGTAGACAGGTTGGAGCAGTAGCGGCGGAACACCCTCAATTAAGGGGGGGGGGGGGCACTGCCGACTTTTGGTCCCATTCTTTCCATGTAACGCCCATAGGGCTAATGTTAAAATGCCAAAATCAAAGGGGGCACGGTGCCCCGGTGCCCTCCCCGTTCCGCCGTCTATGGGCTGGAGTCTCCCGAGCAGCGGTCAGACGACCTGTTGGAGCTTCCCGAGTAGGTACGTAACAGTCCAGGTGGCCCGTTACAGTCTTCTGTGGAGTTGTCAGGCTGGCCCGTTGGAGTATCCTTCACATTGACTTCACCAGAGCTTCGTGTACTCGATTATGCAGAACCACCACCCGTTAATGCTCAGGCGAAAACGACACAAAACTTGGTAAGTCTACCCCTAACTATTAATAGAAAACGTTTACGCTTCCAGTCAGTGTTGTATTTTTCAGAATATTGGATAGAAAAACAAGCCTAATGGGAAAATGTTTTCATCAATAAAATAAGAAAAATGGCATTATTTATCATTAAAAAAGAATGTTTCGTGCATTCGAACAGCCACGTTACAAATACCTATGATGTGACAACTGACAGCTGATGCATCCACATCATTTTCTTTCAGATGCTGTCAAGATCCTGACATGAAATTCTGCTCTATCGATGAGCGATAAAATGGCGTTACGCGCCTTTGCAAAAATGCTTTAAAATGTAAATATTTACTTCCTTTTTTCTCTTCCTAGGATTTTATTCTTCTTCATCAGCTCACCAACCAAAATCGAATTTCAGAACACTGCTTCCAGTGCCCTAAAATAGACAATCAGAGAGCATAGATGGGTCAATCCGTCTTTTCCTCACAACCAGTCCGATAATTTAAAAAGCGTTGAGCAACATTAATTCGGACACCGGAATGTTTCGTCAATGTCATTCAAAAGGCTGACTATATTTGTCATGTGATTAACCCTATTAGTGGCAGGGGGGGGGGTTGTTTTTATCCACCCCTCAGCTTTTCGGGAATATCTCCGAAACCGCTGAAGCTACGATGCTGACATTTTCTGACTTTTCCTAAAACTAAATTGGGCACATTCCCTGAAAATTTCAAGTTCATAACTTTACCAGGGGCGGCTCCAGAGCACTGGGAATTGGGGGGTCCTATTCGTGAAGCGAGTCATTTGGGCGAAGATCACGATGCTGCACCAGTTTTACGAACAGTGAATGAAAGGTATCATGTGATAACATATACAGTTATTGTGCATCCTCTTTTGACACGTTTTTGCTATAATAGGCGGATCCAGGCGTCCAAAAAAAGGGGGTTATGTTTTACCTCCCAACATAGGTGCCCTGACACCGCCTATGCATGACCAATACAATTGTAGTCGTTCTCTCATAAGAAAATTGTAACATAACAAGACCGTTACCACCCTTTTTAGAAACAGTACCAACAAAAACCTTATTTACTATACTTTTTGTGTACCCCCAATCTCAATGATCTGTATCCGCCTATGATTTTTGAAAATGCATATTTTTAGGATCCATGTGAATTCCTGGTTCATTCTCTATCGATCGGCAAAAGTTGCGTTAAGATTGGTTCAGAAACCTGGCCGTGATAAACAGTTTAAAATGTATCTGCAATTTGCCCGTTTTTACCCCCTCTACCCCCCCCCCCCTATTGACATTTTTTAATTTTTATTTTTATTTTAGAAATGTAGATCACATTGAGCGAAATCGAATGCCGTTTGAATTTTGAAAATCGGCCCGTTAGATCTCGAGATATCAAGGGGGGGGGGGTCGTAAACAGCCCCCCCCCCCCCTGCCACTAATAGGGGTAGCCAGGAGCCTGCCACTAATAGGGTTAAATTCATTATATGTAAACACGTGAGTGCAAGAGGGAAGTGGGAGCAGGGACAGTCGACAAAACACTTTGCTCTTGTGGAACTTTGGAAGACCAATTCGGCAGGATTGATACGGGTAGTATGAGTATGGCACGAGTCTTCACGTCTGTGCAAAATCCTTAGGTGTATTGTGCAAAAGCGCATGACACATAACTTTCAAAAGACGAGCTTGTGGAGATGGTTCTAGAGTCTGGACACGTAGCGATGGGCCACCAGCAAATGTAGCTGATACTCCCAGGCCATTCGAAAGTATGCAGCACTCTTTCATAATCTTTCTCCTCCTTGTCCTCAAGACAGGTGAAGGGTAAGATCAGCAGAGGTCGTCACCAACGACCATCGAAGTTGAAATTTCCTCCAATTAAACACAATCACAAAAGAAATACCATGGCTTATCAGTTGAGGTCAACAAGACGGGATAATTTTGGGGAAATCTACTGAAATGACAAAAAAAAATCATATAAGGTGGCATAGATAACAGTAGAAGTTCAACTGTTATCTATGAGGGTGGCATTCAATATTTGGCCCACGGTGTATTTTACATTATGCACTGACATTTACGAATTCAACTGGCCTGTCCTTACATAACCTGGAACTAAACACGTTCACACTTAATACGGAAAATAACAGGATTAATGAATTGCGTCAAAACAAGGAAGGCACGCACTACGCGGAATCACCCCCGTCGATTCAAGATATTCTGCTTACAGCACGTTCCCGATACGTACACCAAAAACTCAGCGGGCTAACAGCACTTGTGCTAAAACGGACTATAGGAAACCAACATGTGTCCGACTCGGAGGAGCGTCGCCGGTTACGATCCCTCAGAGTGCACACTACACAAGTCGGGATTAAGACAATGCGTCGGCTCGCAGACGAGTCTTCATGTGGTCGACAGCCGTTCATCCAGCCGCTCAGTGGTCAGCGATAAATACAGCAGAGGACACACGACAGCGGGCAAGACGGCAGAGCCAATGGCTGTGCTGAATAGTGAATGGTCAGTCAATGGTCATATGGCAAGAAATGTCTTTGCCTTCATCTTTCCGTTGGCAAGTAGTTTTCGTTCAATAGTGGCCTCGACCCTCTGCAAGTTAAAACTGCTACAGATCACATTAAATCAACTTAACCCGGCACCGCCTGGGCTATTTCCGTACCCACGACAGCCTGGGGGGGGGGGGGGGTCGGATCCGACCCCCCCCCCCTGTTATCTCGAGAACCAATGGTCGTATCGAGCCCCGCGAGGCGGCGTTCGAAAGGTCTCTACGAGACCTTCCCAAAGCACTCTTAAGATTTTAAGATTGAGGTCAACTTTCGGGTCAAGGTCAGGTCAAAGGTCAAATTCAGGGGTTTTGCATGAATCGGCTTACGGACAGCGGAATCGATAGCTGCTGCTCGAAACTCACCAAAAATGACCTCAAAGGCCTAGTGAAGGTACCATGTGCGTATAGGGGTCATACTAGGTACAGGTCAAGGTCAGGTCAGGTCACGAAAGGTCACGGTTTTCACTTTCTGCTACATGGGCGTGCGACACATGTTTTATGGCTTATTTTTCACGCCGAATCCGATGGTAATGGTTATATGTGACCCCAAGTCACTGTGCTGGTGATAAGTGTGCATTGAAAGCATAAAAAAGGTCAATTTTTCAACTTTTTATTTTTGACATAAAAATGCACTTTTCTAGACGAGCTTTGTCCCAGGAATCTAGTGGTGCCATTTATTTTCACATGCGATGTTCAGAAGTGCCTCTAATTCACGAAAATGCTTATGACGTCACCATGCCCTATGCATGTTGGAGCTATTTTTTACAATTTGGGGGTCAAAAATCAAGATAAATAGTTGAAATTTGGGGCATCTAATGTTCTAATAGAGCTCTACAACATATATTCCGGTTTTTTGGAAATTTCCAAAATTTTGGATTTTATTAGCTGTTTTCCAAAAAATATAGTTTTTTGAATTTTTAGGGGTGAAAAACGCATTTTATGGAAAATCCGAGATAGCCATTTTAAAGAACTCGTTGAGCTGCGTCTTTTGATGTCCTTAATTTGCAATTTGCTTCAAACTCTGATTTTTGGCGATTTTTTAAACATTTACCACTTTTTGACTAAAAACGCCATGTAGTTACATCACTAAAATCGATATATCTCAAAAAATTTTGGAAATTTTTTCTTAA